AAAAAAAAAAAGAGCAGCAAAAAATGCTCACAGTGACAAGGAGAAAACAAATAATAAAGATTTGAGCAGAAATAAATGAAACAGAAAATAGAAAGACAATAGAAAAAAATCAACAAGACCAGAAGTTGGTTCTTTGAAAAGATTAAAAAAATTGACAAACCACTGGCAAACTTAACAAGGGAAAAGAAAAAGATACAAATAACACAAATAAGAAATAAAATGGTGATGTCACAACAGAATTAACAGAAATAAAAAGAAAAATATCAGGATATTGATAAACTGACACAGGCTGAGGTAGAAATTCTGAACAGATCCACAACAAAAGATGAAATTAAACAGGTTCTTAAAAAAAAAAAAAAAAAAATTGCCAACAAAAAAAAGTTATGGCCCAGATAGCTTCACTGGAGAATTCCACCAATCATTCAAAGAAGAGCTGATACCAATCCTGCCCAAAGTATTCTAGAACATAGAAAAGGATGGAATCCTCCCAAATACATTTTATGAAGCAAGCATAACCCTGATACCAAAATCAGGCAAAGACACCACTAGAAAGGAAAATTGCAGACCAATATTCTTCATGCATATAGTTGCAAAAATCTTCAACAAAATTCTAGCCAATAGACCCCAACATTATATCACAAATAATAATAATAATGCATCATAACCAAGTAAGATTCATATCAGGTATGCAAAGATGGTTCAATTTTATAAAAATAATCACTGAAATCCATCACACAAATAAAATAATCACAAGATCATATCAATTGATGCAGAAAAGGCATTTGATAAAATCCAACACCCATTCCTGATAAAAACTATCATAAAAATAGAAATAGAATGGAAATTTCTCAACATAATAGACGACATATATGCAAAACCAACAGCCATCATTATTCTCAATATAAGAATAATGAGAGAGAGAGAGAGAGAGACTCAAACCATTCTCCTTGTGAAAAGGAACCAGACAAGGATGTTGTGGTAGTTAAGTTTATGTGTCAACTTGGCTGGCCCTGGTTGAGTGGCTGGGCAGCTGTATGCAGTATTCCCCATGATGAAACTGGTAATGAACTCCATGGTGGAATTTACTGTGAGCAGCTGAGTAGCTGCCTTAGGGCTGTGGTCTGCTTCCTATAAGTAAGGAGAAGGCTTGGGGAACAGTCTCTAACTTATAATGTCTGAACCCTGCATGTAGCCAAGTCATTGTTCAGCAGCCTGCCATGCTCTGCCGATCTTGGGACTTTTAATGGACTTGAATTAATGGTCTGCTGTGCGGTTTGGTAATAATGGAACTGTGCCTTTTTACTTGTCAACTTTGGGCTTGTCAGCCTCAGAAGCCAGCAGCTGAGTGAAGAAAAGCCTCCAGCTTCAGTAGGCCAGAACCAGGAGGCAGAGATGAAGACCAAGTTTGAGGGGTTTTCACCCAGCCCCTAGAGCCTGGCACTTTGAACTCAGACTTAAAGCCTCCAAATTGTAAGAATAAACTCCTTTCTGTTAAATACATCCTGTTTGTGGCATATTCCTATCAGAATGGCACTAGGAACCAGAAGAGATGCTCTCTATCTCCACTTCTATTCAACATTATATTAGAAGTTCAAGCCAGGGCAATAAGGCAAGAAAGGAAAATCAAAGGCATCCAAATTGGTAAGGAAGAAGTAAACCTATACCTATTTGCTGATGATATGCTCTTATACATAGAAAAGCCAAGAGACTCAGCAAAAAAACTACTGGAACTAATTGAGAGATTTAGCATAGTGGGAGAATACAAGATCAACATACAAAAATCAGTTGGATTCCTCTACACCAGCAAAGCGATTGCTGAAAAAGAAATAAGGAAATCAATACAATTTGGAATAGCTACCAAAAATAAAATAAAATACTTGGGAATAAATCTTACCAGGAACAAAAAAGACCTGTACAAAGAAAACACTACTTTAAGAAGCCATAAGAGGTCCATAT